TATTATCTTCAGAAAATATTAAAATTATATATTTTAATAAATTATGTATAATGAATTATAAATTATAATCCTATTGTTTAAAGTATTAAAACGATACACAAAATATTTAATGATATTGTTGACTTTCAGTATCTTGTTGTCTTGTATTCAATCAATGATTGAAATAAAAGTAAGATAGTGTATCGTTATTAATTGTATTAAAACATATGTAAAAAATAATCTTTTTGAAAAATATTCATTTGTAAACAATTGCAAAGGTATAAAAAAAAATAACCAAATAAATGCATAAATGAATAACTTTATTATTAAAGAATTAATAACAATTATTTTAGAAGAGTATTATTAATTTTATTTTGGCAGTTATTGCCATTTTATTAATATTTTATGCAAAAATTAAGTTTACTTTTATATAATCTTCTTGTTTGGCATTTTTGAAATATTTTCTAACTTAATTAATATTATTTGTACTTGATTTAATATATTATATAATTTGATCTAATATTTTAAATTTATATTATCATAAAAGCAGTCAATTTATTTGGAATAAAAAGATTTCTAAGTTATTCAATAGCTTTTGGAAGATATATATTAAATGGAATGCAATGGATACAAAAACACAAATCGCATTTCTACAGATTTCATTAATTGTTTAACAATTTTATTTATCCTTCTTAAAAGTCTTAAAGTCTTAAAAATTTAGTATAAAAAGCATTTTAGCGATATACATGATTCTCTAAAATATATATCCAAATAATGTTATGTGCTATAATATATTATATTTAGGCATGTAAATATCTAGTTTTACGTTCATTCTTCATTATTCTTTAACTTCAAATTATATGTATAATGTTGAAACTTGACTAGCAACTTTAAGATGCAAAAATTTCATACCTCAAACTATAATAAAATTAAGTACATTAAATCCTAGTTTATCACAATCGCAATAGGCTTATACATGAAATCTTCATATTCCATTTTTTTATAAACATGACTAACAATATTTGTTAGCTGGTAAAATACGAGTAAGGTGTATAACATACAATATGCAAATACAAAGTATGCAATTTGCATAGATTACTAGGCACAAGGTGAAACGCTCCAAAAATTATTTCATAAAAATTATTGTAAGCTTCTTCAGTATTTGATCTTGGCAGTCTGTAATGTTAAAATTTATAGAACCAAAGAATGTGGAAATATTTTCATGTTTACATAATCATCAAGAACCTATAAATAATTAATAAATAATTAAAATATTTAATAAAAATAATAGTAAAGAAATTATATTGTTTTAATTATGTAAATAATTATTAACCTCTTTCAAAGCATCTTTTGTGAGTTTTGGATAAAGATAAGTAAATCCAATACTCAATAATTTTCCTGTTTGCAAATATAAATGCTTATTATAAAGAAGCTCTTGATCTATATATGGAGACAAGGGACTATTTTCCACTCCATCTTTATTGCAAGCTTCTGCCCAAGGTCCCATATGTTTATCATTTACTTCTTCAACAACAGAACTCATATCTGTCTAAAATACATACAAACAAAAATAATTTTAAATTACATTAAAATCTAAAATATTTCCATTATTTTTAAAATATAATTGTTGTTATTATATATATATATATATATATATATATATATG